GAGTATTTCTAATTAATTTATGTTCGATGCTTATTCAGGCCTGCCGCCTATGGACGCCCTCTACTGTTGTTCAACACCTCTACACACTTTTTTGTTTATAAGAATCGTACTTTTTTTTGAGCCTCGTGATTCTTAGAAAATCGACATTTTGAGCCTTAAATAATTCTTAAATGATTTTTAAATAATTGTTGAAAAAATCGACTTATATTTTCATTAAAACTGTTAAATGCGATGGCATGTAAAACGTGGTAGTTGAACGAAAGAGGAAAATGCTAATATCCAATAAAAGAACCAATGTATAACACAACAAGAAAGTAACCCCTCCTTTTCAAAATATACGCAATTCGTTAAACTACAGTAATATGACTTCTACGCCGTCAATGTCTTCGAGGCCAATATAGTCCTCACTCCCGTCGGGGTAGGAAACGCGATATTTATGTATGTCGTCGTTGAAGTATTCAAGAGTGCCTTCAAACCACCCATTTTCATAATGAACTTTCACCCTACGGCCGCAAAATTCAACGTCATAGAATCGGTCATCCTCATTATCAAACCACTCGTCGCCGTCGTAATCGAGTGACAATGTTTGTCTGATGATCGAGCCTCAGCATTATTCTTAAAAAATTCTTAAAATTTGGGAAATCAAGCCTCGATGATTCTTATAAAAAGAATTCTTATAAACAAAAAAGTGTGTAGTGGATCTACTGACGTTGCTCATAGATGCGCGAGGCAAACGACTCACTAGGCAGTGCACGAGGCAGTCTACGTAACACAGACCGTAAGACAGGCGTGAGTCAACGCTGGATCGCGTAGGACGAATTCCAAGGAAACGCGGATATTTTCCTTTGTATCCGTAACACGTAAGAATAGGTTCTCTCTATCAAGAGATGTATGCGATCGGTTGGCGGGCAAGTGCACCGACTAGTTTTTGTTGGTTTAGGTAAGATACAATCATAAACAGCACGTAACAGACACAGCTGGGAAGGTGGGGATGGTTCGATGCGGCAGCGAGAGCTAACGACAATACAGTGGACCCGTTTTATCGGGCCCCGGATAAATGAGCGCACCGCTTAAACGACACGTCTTTAAAAAACAATTCTTAAACACAGTGACACGTTGTGTATGTGTACGAAGCTTGATCGAGACCACCGCTCAATCGGAACAGTTTCGTGGTTCCCGACCTGTGTCCCGGTAAAACGGACACCACTATACACGACCGTTTCTTGAAGCTACAGAGAAGTAACAAACGCACACGCACGCACGCACGCACGCACGCACGCACACGCACACATACACAATCGAGCGGGCGCCCGCACGCACCGACAGCATAGTCTAAGACCTGCGTGTGTGTATGCGGAACCACCTCTTTCCGGTTATATCAGTTACAGTTTGCACAAGAGAAACTGATCTGAGCAAGAACCAACTCTACGGTAAGTTCAGCCGCTCTAGCCGTAGCCCACGTTTCTACGCATCGAGATAAGACGGTACACACAGCTATCTGCCCCTCCCATCCTGAGATAGTGACAGCTAGGGTGTCGTGTGATAGTGACCGCCAACGAGAGACGACTCCGTGTGAATTATCATCATTCATAATCCTCAGCCCCCCACCCCCACCCCCACCGACTCTCTTCAAGGTTTGTGTCGGTGGTGGGCGAGACTCTCTCTCTCTCTCTCTCTCTCTCTCTCTCTCTCTC